TTTTTTTGTTTTATATTATTAGATAGAATTAGTCCTGTTCAAGAGCACAACAAAACATGTCCCTAAATCTTGCTGCTTACTTGTGCACCCTCAGCAGAGCCTTGTTCTATGAATAAATATATACTTTGACAGAATATTCTAGATTTCTCCAGACAATCTGGATCTGAAAGTCCAACCACTAACGCTTCAGTCTTCAGTGGAAGTCACAAAACATTGAACTGGTAACTCAGGCAGCCTGCATCTTGCTACGGTGGTTTGGGGGGCCACAAGAAAAGTGTTTCATGGTTATGAAATGGTGGCCGAGAGTCATATAGTCATGCATACTTGCTCAGAACATTTCAAAAGCCAGACAAATGTGTTTCTTATATGTAAAATGGTCAATAAATTTGACCACATTGCTCTTCTCTGGGTCAAGCTTCCTCAGTTTTTTGAACACCTCAACTTCCTGTCTGCCCGCCGTGGAACAATCTTCTAGGATAAATTTGACTGCTACGACTTCTTTTGTGCTCATTTTTTTGCACTTGGCCACTGCAGCTTTGACAGGTCGCCATGTTGTTTTTTTTGTAGTCGGAAGTGACCATATTTAGAAGAGAGGCCGGGAAAGGGGCGGGGTTAACCCAATGACCTCTGAGGATACACAGAACACCTGAGGACACCGAGGTGGCCCACTTGTACCGGCCTGAATCCTGCTCCTGCTGTGTGAAGGCGCTGCTACTGCATGCAGCTTATGGTAACAACATTACCTTCCATAAGTCACGGTAAACTTTATTGTCAATTAAAAAGCACATAACCATACGCTATTGTAGCTGAAGTTATTGTGTGTAATTAAACATGAAAATGCATGTAGCCACTTATAGTACAACAAAATCTAACACTCTGTTTTAAAGTTGTTCTGCAAATGTATGGTTACAATTCTAACTGAGTGTTTACAGTGATTGTGAAATGAACAACGGAGTCTGTAAACGTCGCTAGCTAGCTATCTGTTCTCTATAGTTAAGTTTATATGCTGTGTTATTGGTGTTTTAACTGTTAACGTCTCGATGTGCTGTTCAGGATGAGCAGCAGATAGAAACTAGGTCATGAAACCAAGCTAACGCTACATCACAGTAAATTGTTTCTGATTAACGCGTGTTTTCCCAGTTAAATGATTAAAAACACAGTTCAGTGTATTGTGAGTTATCTTAACGCAGTTGTTAGCAGCACAGACTGTAGGCTAATGTTAGCTGGTTCTGTGTCAGTCTGTTGTAACTATTTTGTTTTTTCTTTCAGGAAAAGTAATGTTACTGAGGCTGACCATCATATCATGTGTTCCCCACAATACCACAGAGGTGCAGAGCTGTTTTGTTTCCCCTTTACTCTATAGCCTAAATTATGATTCATTAGAATACAAAATAATATAATATACTTCAATATCCAGCTGTGGAAGGACAATTGTCTTATTGTTACACAGGAAAATACAAGCATTTCAATAAGACGAAGAAAGCATCACAGGATAAAACCATACAGTAAGATCCTGGGTGTCCTAATCGGGACTGCGAGGCGACGGTGCTAACCACCGAGTAGCCCAGATACAAGAACCATTGCAGATATTTTAATCACTGTTATAATGTCTTTTCCTTTCAGCCATGATCTGGATCATTGGGGGACAGCTACATCTGGTTGAGAGAGCTACAGAGACCATTGGGAACAGTCATAGTGTTCATGGTATCTGCATTTGCATCCGCATCTGAAAAGCCTTCACCCCTTCTTCATGTAGTCTGTATGAAGAAGAGCAGTGCTGGATGTCCCTCTCATCTCACTCAGTCATGCAGTGGATGTGATGGAAGGACCTGGGTGATGTCTCAAGTGTCAGCCTCATTGCAGCAGTGATTGAGAACCTGCACCACCTTCACCTGCAGCCAGACATGAAGATCATCTTCTGTGGCAGAGATGCAGGTGGACGGCTGGTGCCAATCTAGAGAAAACAAGGCTGACAGGTTTGTGAACAGTGTTATGGCTACTTAGGTTCAGTGTTTAAATGTCAGCTTTATGCATCACTTTCATGTAAGGTGTGACACTTCCAGGCTGTTTTTACACAGTGGAGTTTATTTCATCATGAGGGGAAATTATGTTTTATAAAACCGAATCCGTTTAAGGCCACCTGCAGCAACAGTGACGTGTTCATGTCTGACTGTTTGCTTGCTGTTAAAGTGTGGATTATTTTTAGACCTGAATAGTGTCATGCCTTGTGTGGTTATTTTTATGTATATAGTATCTTTTAAAACTTAACACCTGTGGCCATAACCCTGTTCAATCTTGCCAGCTATGCTCTTCCTCAGTCCCTACATTCTCTACTATTCCCACTGTCTTATTCTTACCACCATGAGGCATCTTCGCCTTCATCAGGCATAGTTTTAAGAAAAGTTTTAAAAATGAGAGTTTAGTTCTCAGTTATTACAGTTATTGTCAGTGCACTGTTCCAAGAGCATTACTTATTAAGACAAGGGTTGTTACTGGGGCAAGTTTATATTCAGATACTCTCATTCAAGCTGCATCTCTTTTATGGTGACTGAAGTAAACCAAGATACTGAAACATAAACAGTCTTCAGAACAGCTTCTTGCTTCCAATCTGCGAGCCTGCTAAATATAACTGTCTCGACCACTTCCTGGACTTCTTGCACTTTACCTTCATTACTTACAGACTGCAGCAAAAGCTGTTTCAGCTATGACTGTTACACAATGCTAACTTTAATTGTAAAGGCAGCTATTACTCTTTTACCAGGACTTTCCTCAATGAGTGCATAGACTGCTGCACCATATATGAAGGATTACTTTTATTTTGTAGTTTCTCATGTTTACCATTTCTACTGTAAGTTATACTTGTGGAAATGATGTTGCACTGGAGGTTTAACTCTGTCTCTTCATTATGCAGACCTGTATTGTGACTCTTGTGTAATGAATGGTTTTTAATTTGCCATAAAGGTATTAATGACGCTCTCGCCCTAAGTGTGTTGATGCATTTTTTTTTGTGCATCGGTTATACATTTTGACAATCAGTAATACAATATTCTAATTTTACAATCTAACATTAGACATTTTGCCAGAACTAATTGCAACACTATTTAAAGGTTGGCTTTAATCAACAGCATATACAACAGAAATCTTATAAATATTGTTGTTCTTAAACACTGACAGATCAAATGACAGATTTGGAGTTTCTTTCTGTTTGTAATCAGCAGGTTTATTTAAATGTCAATTCTTTAACACATGTTGAAGACTTTGTGTGCACATCTATAACAGTAGTTCTATTTTGCTCTGGATGCACATCTGGTTGAGCAGTCACAGCTGTTTCTTATTAAAGACCTGTTTGATGTTAAATCAGGAAACACTTCCACCTGAAGAGGAAGAAATAGAATCTCTGAATACCGGGGACAGAGAATAATAAACAAACTTCTAAAAAAAGGTTTGTCTGTCTTTTAATCGGAGGAAGCTGAACTGGGAGTGGTTTTCTGGCATCATCATCTCTTCCCATTTGAGAATTCAAGATGTTGTATGTGCAGTTTCCTACTTTAAAACTAGACAAATGGCACCAAATGAGGTCCTCCTTCTGTTGGTACAGCTCATTGTTTTTCATAATGTGGACACCTTTTGGATTACAGTAAAAGACAAAACCTGAAGTGAATGAGTGGTTCACTTGTGGATTTTTGTAAGGATTGTTGGTATAACATGAACAAACTCCTATATTACCAACGTTGATGATTGATACCAAGTATTTATCTCACCAAAATTTGAGTCTGCTTTCAAAGGGGACACATTTATCTACAGATGTATTCTACCATTAGAAGGAAGAACGGTCTTACATACGTGTGACTCTTCACACAGATTTGTATTTTCTTTCTTTGGAGGACATGTCTGGATCGTATGATTCCTTATTTCTTTTCTAAATGCTTCTTTGCAGTGACTCACAACCAGAACAGCGATGGACTGGGATCATCTCTGAATTCTTTAATTCTTCTGGACCTCCTGCAGCGAGCTGTAGAAGAAGGTAAAACTCTGCAAGTCATCACCCCCACCCCCCTGACTGACCACTGTCTTTGCAGTTTCAACATCTTTATTTTCTTCCTCAGGTGGAGACAATCCAGATCATTACCCAGACTACCAAAAGCTGAATATAAACCTTTTGTGAAGGTGATCAAAGGCCACTTAATTTTTTTCCTCTTATGTGGTTGTTGCATTTCATTATATTGATTACACTTTTCATTATGTGTTTGCATTTACTTATAATTAAATATGCTATATAAATAAAATGCCTTGTCTGCAAGTTGCTGCTGTTTACTTCTGATTCATATTAGTTTCTTGCTTACGTTAGCTTGCAGTTTTCAGTGTGAAACATGAAGGGATTCCTTTAACAGCGGCACTTCTCACAAGATTATTAAAAAAAAAAAATGCTTCAAGCAAAAACTCATTCACCCCACACAGTGATTAACACCCGGCAGAACGACATTCAGTCATACATCATCACACTGTCCACACGGGGGTCACTGAGAGAGTCATGTCTGGGTCAAGCAGAGGTGAGCAGCTGAGATTTACAGGAGATGAAGTTTTACTGCTGTTGTTAGAATGACAAAGGTCAGAAAAATGTTAATTATTGCATGTAGGGCTGAACAAGCATTAAAGGTAAATCCAAATCAAATATTTACTGTGTCAATAAAAAGGATTTTAGATCAACAAAACAAGTATGTAGAAAAAGACTGACTTCATCCATTGACAGAAGTTAATGATCCACAGAAGAAGTTGGTCTGTAAATCAGTTTCCACAGTATCTTAGAATTTACTTCACTTTATCATCACCTGGTCTTGAATGTTTCAGTACACTTGTTGCTCTGCTGCTCACCTTCAGCTTTAGCCCGCTCATGTGCTCAAACAGATGATAGATGTCTATAGTACAGTACTTCTCTGTGTTACAAAATTTATCATGCAGTATATTTTCCATTCATCAATTAATAACTGAAAAAATTCAAGTCTTGTTCAAGCACCAACCAGCTTGCTTTATTACACTTCAAAGCAACATGAGTGACACACGGTCCCACAGTGCTACACAACTGAAGATAAATGAGTCGGAGCATTTCTCTCAGTCTATGTCACCTTTGGTTTTTCTCTCCAGCGAGTACAAGTGTACAAACTGACACCTACAGCTAAATCTGACAGGTTTAAACCCCTCAACACCAGAGAATCTACAGAGGGCCGTGGGTTGAAGGTGTGGACGGTGGAGCTGTCTGGTAGGTAGTGAATGCAGAGTGAAATTACTGAAGGCCATGAGCAGTCAGGAAGATGCTGCTATGTCGCCCTCTTCTGGTCAGTTAGACATCCTGCAGGTCCTTCTGGATGTCCCACAGTGTGCTGGCACTGGCCTGCAGTTGAGCCACCTCGTCTTCTGTCAAGGTCATGTTGACCACGCTGGACACGCCTCCGCTGTTCAACACGCAGGGCAGACTCAGGTACACCTCGTCACTGATCCCATACATGCCCTGTTGATGCAGAACCACATGGTCTGTATGTGGATATACCGTCATAAGCAAAAACTAGTGCTACACTGGATCTGAACTGCAAATATTTGAGTTACGTCCAAAATGAGAAAAGTGAAAGTGGGAACTAGGAAGAAAGTCAAGCCATTTCATGTTTTCCAGAAAAAAAAAATGAAGAAAGCAATTGATTGGTGTTACAAATTAGCCTAACAACTTTAAATATTAGGGTAAAGAGGGCGGAATCAATCAATCAATCAATCAATCAATCAATCAATCAATCAATCAATCAATCATAATGTGTGTTAAGACTGAGACCCTATAGTGGTATTAATTAGGGAGGTTAATCTGACTATTGTAATGTTATAACTGGAAAGTTTCAATTTAAAAACAAAACTGGGACTAAAACTGGATTTTATTCATCAGATTTCACCTTATACATTTTGAATGTACAAAAAATTATTAAGCTGTTGACATACATACAGTAAACCTGAATGACTCAAAGGACGAATGAATGTGTGTGCACGTGAACGCCTCTTACCATCACCATGGTGGAGACGGGATGAATCCTGTTCATGTTCCTTATGAGGCTCTCAGTTAGGTCAGCGACACTCAGACCGATGGCCCAGTTGGTGTAACCCTTCAGCTTGATCACCTCATAGGCACTAAGAGACACAACACATGGCTTAGATACCAAAAAAGCAAGTTTGGACAGTGGAGCTGTTTTGACTTGTTATTGTTACCTAAATTTGAATTGTCTTAAAGCTGTGATGTGAAGAGATACAAATAAACTCTTAGAACTCAACAAAACTGTTCAAAACAGATTTTCCCTCTGAGTGCTGCTTGTGTCCTCTACACTGATAAAAGAAACAGAGAGAGGGAGTGTGTGACAGCAACAGAGTCTGAGACTTGGACAGAGGGACAGCGTTCAAAGTCTAAATATAAGGCAATCTTACAAACGTAATTTCCACAAAAAGCCTTATTGTTGTGCCATTAATTTAATACTTTTTGTGCAGGTGTCAGGGGCAAGCAATATGGATGAAAATGATAGGCCATAAATATCACGTTGTAATGTAGTATTCAGAGATACTGTCTTTAAAAAATATGCTGAACATTCTTATAATTTAAAAATACAAGTTCATGAAAAGTTTTTTTTTTTTTTTTACTTTAATCTCACATTGCCACTCATTTAAAGAGTTTTTCCTGGCTCAGAATCGGCCATTGAGGCATGACCACACGAAAATTAGCATGATCAGTCTGTGTAAAGTATAGACAAGAAGTCTGTATTACATTCTTTGACAGACATAATGCATTTTTCTGTTATTTCTGACCATTTCATTAAATAAACGTTCACTATTCTGGCTTCTTATTTTGGCACTGGTTTTCCTTTGGCATAATTTTCTTGGAAGGTACAAAAGTTCCTCCATGCAGGAAAACCCTGACTTAAATAGGCAGAATAATAATAAATATTTAGATGTGTGTGTGTTGTCATAGCATAGAGTGATGTGACACATGAGGAGAGATCTTCCCACTACGAGCAGGTGATTTGAAAAACCTCAGAGGATTTAATCAACAAAGCAAATAAACAGCAAATTAAGAGACCTCCAGCTTACCTGTCCACCACCATCTTGTGGGTCTCTTTCCAGTTCTCGTCGTCGAGGTCGGTGCCGATATCCGGGTTTAAAAGCTGCAGGTTGACTCCAGCCACATTTGTTCCGCTCCACACAGGCACTAACACACATGTTGGAACAATCAGCCTTCATCCACATTCCACACACCTAACACAGTCTACGCCATCCTAGAAACACACTGTTTCTTTTTGTTTGCCTACAGGCAGTTAGTTTAAAGGACCAACAAAGCAGAAAATCCACAAATCCTCACCACTGGTGTCTCCGTGTTCTCCTAGGATCCATCCGTTGAAGCTGCTGGGGTGAATTCCCAGTTTGTCGGCCATCAGGAAACGGAAGCGTGCGGAGTCCAAGTTGGTGCCGCTCCCGATGACGCGGTGCTTGGGAAGGCCGCTCAGTTTCCAGGTCACGTAGGTCAGCACATCGACTGTTAGAGAGCGATTTTAGCAGCACTAAAGGGTGAATACTGTATGTCCTTACGTCTGACAGAGAAAACAGAATGAAGTGTGGCAGCCAGTACCTGGGTTTGAAACAACAATGATGATGCAGTCAGGACTGTATCTGACAATCTGGGGGACGATGTGCTTAAAGATGTTGACGTTTCTCTGCACGAGGTTCAGCCTGCTCTCCCCCTCCTGCTGACGGACTCCAGCTGTCACCACGACGATGCGGGAGTTAGCTGTAACGGAGTAATCTGGGACAAAAAAAATAAAGGGGAATTCAGTTTGTCATAACAGTGAACAGATTTTTCCTCACTTTCAAGTTTTCAAGTGCTTGCCAGTTAGCAGCACTATGTAAATACTGGACCTGTGTTAATTCAATCGGAGTTATGAGATTGAGTTTCACGGCATGTGAGGGATATAAACTTGCCTTTGTCTGCGACTATTTTGGGGGTTTTCAGGAAGAGGCTGCCGTGTTGCAGGTCCATCATCTCTCCTTTCAGCTTGTCCTCCATCACATCTACCAGGGCCAGCTCATCAACCAGCTCCTGCAAACATCAGGGAGATCAGAACAATCCACACATCAATGCCTCCGCTCACAGTACACACATTCAGCAGCATAACTGCCTTTTGCAATTGGGGCTAGTACTTAAAATAGCTGCAACTTAGAAGTTTAAACTCAGTTCAGATAAAACAAGATGTACACACAGTATAATGGGTATTAAAATCTAGTTAAAGGGATTTCTCATTTTGAAGTATAACAGTAAGGTAAACCTGCTGCTTGTAGTACTCGATAGGCAGGGTGCTGCTGCTGCCCAATTTCAGCTGAGTAACAAAAGCCAAGCTAAACTGCAGTAGTTAGTCTTAGTTTCCTCTGTAACAAGGACAGTGGGGGGATAATACCCAGATCAGACACCAAGAGATCAGTAATCCAGTGTCAGTCTAGGAGGACCTGGGTATTACCCCGTCCAGTAACACCAGCAGGCAGGAAGGTAATCTAAGAAGAGGCAGAACTAGTGGGACTCTTACCCTGAGCAGGATGCTGACAGCACAGGCCATGCCAACCTGGCCCACGCCTACCACTGTCACTTTATTCCTAGGGGGCTCAGGAGGACCACTGAACAGCGGAGTGATCAACTTCTGCAGGATTGAAGCCATGTTCAGTGCTGAAGAGTGTAAAGAAAAAGAGAAAGGGAATGGTGTTTCTGGTCAGGCAGTATGCCGGCTGTTGATACACGACAAACATTTCACACAGACACAACAGAAGCAAACAGTCCTGTGTGCAGCCTCGCGTGCTCCAACTTCATAAATACTGCATTCAGTCAGAGTGTACAGGGACTACAGAGACTGACATTTATCTCAGCGGCACTAATAAAAGCACGACTCCTCTGACATCTCGATCCGTGACAAGAACAAATGGAATTGCTCTAACTTAACACGCTATCTCTCTGCAGAGTTCACCTTGAAACGACATACAGTGAGGCACAAAACCAGCAGCAATACTTGCATTTTTCGACGAAGCTCCGAGCTGCAAGGTAAAAATACCACCATGTAATCAGCATGGCAAACTGAATGGAAACCTAAGGTGTGTTGCCACCGAGCTGCGTACCCCCTGCATCCACAACACCTCCGACAGTCACAGTTTGTGCGTTCCAGACAGGCAGGTATCCAGTCAGCTGCAGCAGTGGCACAGAGCGCATGTGACTCAGGGCTGGATGGAGGAACTGTGAGCTGCACAGAGCTCCTCTCCCTCCACCCTCCTCCCCAAATGGAGGACGCTGCACTATAATCCGATGCCAAACTTGACTGACTGACTGCAGACTGTTAAGGAGTTACTGTAATCCCTTAACGCTGCTCCCATCTGCTGCACCTGTGCTACAGATGAACATCAACTTTGTATCTAACAGGAAGTCTCTGTAGAACAACTGTTATTGTTCTTTTGAGATTGATTTCTATTTTTAAACATTAAGAATTTATCTTTTAAAGCAGGGTTACCAGCATTTTCCCTGACATAAGCATAGTATAAAACATAGGCCTATATTACTGCTATAATATTGCTATTATTAAATAGTACCAGGCAGTAACAGAATCTGAATTATACATAATTTAGCCAACATTGAATTTTATGCATCATACACATTTGGAAATGGTTAAAAACTATATGCTGCATTGTAAAAACTGTATTAAGCATGCAGTACTGCTTGAGCTAAGACATAATTTATGTAACTCAGAAAGTAGGTATGAGGCATTGAAAATACAATCCAACTGCAAATGCAATGGTGAGACCATCCATTCATTATCCCTGAGTGCTACTGGATTACCATCAGAAAACTCTGTGCGCTCTGAGCATGTAAACATGAGCAGGTAATGAGGTGGCTTAACATCCAAGGTCACCAGGGGGACAGCAGTTTTTTTCTTTCTCTCTTTTTTTTTTTAAACTTTCATTTTTCCATGATAATAATCACAGTTGGTACTTTAATGATTAAGGAACCAAAATATCATCAGAAAATTGCCCCTTTATTCCAATACTGTGGACAAGACAACTGCGAGGCAACTTGACTGACGTTTGTGCGACTAAAAGAAGTCGTCCTTGAACTTGGAAACAGACAGCGGTGGAGAAGTAAGGACATTAAATTGTTTTAATATGCTGTACAGATACTAATGTAACAAAGGGAATCCGGTATATTTAGGATAAAGCCACATATTGAAATGCACAGTTCAATCTAAAAACATTTAAGAAGTCTATAAAGTTATATTTTTGAAATGACTGCTTATAGAGGCAATCTGGCTTTTTTGTTGTTGTTTTTTCTTGCTCATTAGTTCAAGATCAAAATAAAGTTTCAATAACCTGCTGGTGAGCCAGGAAATATATTTTAAAACACATGCATTTTATCTGAATGACTATGACATTTGTTTTTAACTTCTAAACATAACTTTGCATTTCTTGTTAAAAGAAGGTATCCAAAAAAATATCCTTTCAGTGGTGCACATGATAGTTCTGCCGGTGCATCTGGAGATAAGCAGTCAGACAAAGCTGTCAACATCCACAGTAAAAACACCTGTAAGCACACCCACTTCTATATTATGGATAAGCAGATTACTAAAGGAAATGTGACGTACAGTTCTGTTTTGGCTAAAAAGGACCAAACCTCCAAATGAGCACAAGCAATGAAGAAAGGATGAAGAGGGTGGATGCAAACAAAAGCTGAGTGTGTTCAGCTGTTATGACTTGATATAACAAAGTTGGACAATTTTACTTTTATCACAAAATGATAAACTAAGCATAATAGTTTATAAATAAACTGCAAAAAAAACACAAAAAACAAAGTCAGTTAAAAGCTTTCTGCCTCTGTCAAATTTCTCAAATCTACACAACATGAAAACATGGCTGTTCACCTGCTGTCTTGAAGGTCCAGCTACTTTTAGTACAACTCCTTGTCCTTTGTCCAAAGCTACAGTGAGACTCACCGTTGCTGTGCTGTGCTGTGTGCTTGCCTCTTCCTGCTGTGCTGTCAGGCTGCAGCCTACTGGATTTAATTGACTAAGCCTCTCCATCCCCTACAAAGTCTCAGTTTGGCACTCCAACAGTCAGTCAGCTGGTACAACGTTCACTGACAACGCATATTTCCTGTTTAAGAATAAAAAGAAAATGAACACATTACTCTACCACAGAGACAAGAGTTATTACTTACAGAAATCGCAGCTATGATCATTTATGCCGTTTGTGTTTTACCATATTCAAAAGGTCAGGCATGGCAAATAAATGCATCTCTGCTTCAAGGCACTGTGGACAAGACTATTGCAGTGTTTTACCTTCTCAGTTGTTCATAGCTCACATCTACTATTTGTTTGTTTAAACTGTGTATATTCATGTCTAATTACTAATCTACACATAATTTCACAGGTTTTTCTGTCTGCAGTTTCTGTGGTAGCACACACTTGGTGTAGCACAGCATGCTTCCTCCATGAATGAAGCATAATAACATCTAGGTTTTGCCCTCTTCCATACTATTTCACATAAAAATGACTTCAGCTCTTCCACCTGCAGCTCCATGGATCTGCTGAGGGCCTCCAAGCTGCTCCTGAACAGGTGTATTCAGTGAGCGTGTCTAATGCTGGCAGTGTTGTTATAAGAAACAGCTCTGGAGTCCTTTAATCACCCTTGGATCTGAGTATCAAGGACACACTGACTGCATTTCTTTGTCAAGCACAGACACCATAAAGGCAGCGAAGGGGACACAGAATGTCACAGAAGCTAAAAGCTATTAATATTAGCCTTGCATGGCATATATTGGTTATTAGTACCCACATCAGTTTCCAGCCATATTGTTAAGCTGGTCAGTGATTCCAGGCTTCCTCAGCTACAGACTCCTCATAATGTTCTCCCCAGTAACACATACTTGAAATTAGCTGACTTCTCCCAAATTCTCTGTAGAATTGATAGCACTCAAACCCACCAGAAATAATATAATAAAATGTATATTCACTTTCACGTTTCAAGTGTTGACATAGCGTGTTTTCAACCTTAAATTCACCACAATTTAACAGACTAGGGTGTGTGAATGTCCTCACTAGCACAGCAGCCACCAGTTCGGCGGGTGTCTTCGAGGGAAGCGATGGTCATGTTGTCACATTACAGAGGCTAATGGTTCACAGAAAGGTTAACATGTAACCAAAACAGAACGTATTTTTGTGCGGGCAAAACTATTAACTGAAATCTTCGAGTTTTTTTTCATAGACGTTAGCTAGCTAGCCGCTATTTAGCTACCAAAGCTGGAGCTAAGTTAGCTTAAAGTTGAAGCTGTTGGTTAACGGCCGCTAACGTTGCGTTGAAATTGTTGTTCAGGCTCTCCCGCCGGGTCTCACTCTGAATTCAAAGCGGTCCATTGTGTCAGCTCCGCCCACCAGGACTGTCCCGGTAAGAGTTTTCAGTGCAATGTCACTAGTGCGCCAGCCGATGTGTCCATACCTGGCCTTCACATTTATTTTTTTTTTTAAATTTTGTTTTGCAAATTTTGTCTATTCCGTGGCCTTCCTGATATTTTTAAGCACCTCCACCAAATTGGTGGCAAGGCTAGCCCAGTGACTTTTCGATTTTAACCTGATAATTGCTGATAAAATGTGTCACACTGCAATCTAGGCAAAGTATGTACGTACTTTCTATTTTTAAAGGCGTGCCTTGGAAAATACTAATTTTCATACATTTTATTTATTGATGCAAAAAAAAAAAAAAGACTGGTACTGCTTAAAAGATTCAGACACAGAAGAAAAAAAAGATGTAACAACCAAGTTTATTTTATGATACACTGCCTACATTATCATAAATAAACAGATTAAAAATCCTTACCCACATAACCCCTGTCGTTTCTGTCCATTGTGGGAGAGCTGCCTGATGATGAATAACTTGTTAAGTCAGCAAGGTTCAGATTAAGATACAGTATCACTTGCATGTATTACATATTGCTTTACAATGAAACCTTAAAATGTGCTATAAAAAGTTGAACACGCCACTTTAGAAAAATATCAAAATAGAAACCAAACCCCACAGAAATCTTCTCATCCCCAACATCGCCTCCAGTCACTGCATCCTTGCTCCCAACAGCTGAACAACCCTATTCACAGAAACCTACAGTGTCTTTACTAGTAGTAATTTTGCCCAGGCATAAGGATAGTTGTGACAACAGGATTTACTTTCTCCATGTGTCTTCTTTGCAGATCTGCCATGTTTGAACACATGCAGTTAGTGAGGTGGGCTATGTGGGTGCACTGCAACAGCCAGTCCTGTATATAGGACTGAAGGATCAGAAATCTTATAAAAACAACAAAAAAAATAAGAAAAGCACAACAGAGCACTAAACTTCAATGCATGTAAACTCAAACGGGCATCCTGGCAAGGATAGACAAATCAATGATCTATGATCAAATGCTGCAACTTTACTTTCATTGACAAGTACATGACAAATAAATGGTAGATGAAGCTAAAAAGCTTTTCCATTCAAGATATTCAATTTGTAAGATCAACAAAGTTGATACAAGATGCCCAAAGTACAGTAAAATTTCTACCTCAATCCATTGACTGCCAAATCATGATTGCAAAACATGGTTCCCAGAACTCTAATTTTAGCCGTGATCATGGAGCCCCACATGAGCTTTTTCAAGCAGCTATCAGCTACTTTAAAAAAATAAAATAAAAAGAAAGTTTATACTTCAAGTTGGATGTGGGCTGATTTTCCTCATGCAGTGATGTGACCTGATTACACCGTAAGTCTCCTCCCAGCACAGACCACATTAAAAAAGTTTGAGCTGAATCAACCTGAGCACCATAGAAATAATGAATCACTCTACCTAAATCTATAGCTATGGAGCGAATTTTGAAATTCAATGAGAAACACATGTAGACATTCTGGTGTTAGTAGAAGCGCTGCTTTGTGTTTGAAAAAAACAAATGGGAGGGCACTAAGTGCTAACAGTGTCCAGGCACTTCACCATCAGAAAAACACCTGGCACAGAGCGTTAGAGAAAAACTACAGTATGACCTTCAAAAACTACAACCATGCATGGA